GACTCCGGGAAAACTCATAAACTACCACTATAAATACAGAATAAAAGAATAACAGAGGAATCTTGGAAGGGACCTTGGAGGTCAACTAGTCCATCCTCTTGCATAAGCAGGAGACCCTATACCATTTCAGACAAATGGTTGTCCAATCTCTTCTTGAAAGTCTCCAGTGTTGGGGCACCCAAAACCTCTGAAGGCAAGCTATTCCACTGGTTGCTTGTAAATATTCATAAAAAACAAACAAATAACATAGGTTCTTACATAAATAAAGCAGAACTTGCATAAGCCTGAAGTCTACCTATGCTGATAATACCAAAACATAATGGACTGGATAATTACTTATGCGCAAGTCAGAATATCCCTGCTTTCTTTTCTAAAACTGATTTATCCTGTTGCTTTTGATCATGTACTTGAAAGTATATGTATTATATTTAAAGGAAGTTTAAATAGATGTAAAAGATTATTTGTGATTCAATACCCCTCCCCTTCAATGTAGTTCTTACCATAATTTATTTTAAAATACTTTACCTTTAAAGGCAACATTATCCGGAAGAGGAGAATCTGTGTATCACAAAGTATATTTATTTGAGATATTCAGAAGCGCATTTACGCTTCATTTTACAATTTGCAGACAGTATACTATCCACGTTTTGTAGTATTTATTTTAAATTAATGTAACTTATATAAAACTCTGAAAAGGAAAAGAGTTCAAATAGTTAACATCATGCTGTGTTAAGTACTTCCTGTAAATAATTAACAGTAATACAGTGACAAGTACTGTAGCTTCTGTGATAATAATAGACTGGCATCTTGTTCTATTGAACATCAGGAACAGTGATGTCATAATTGTTTGATTATATGCCATTAAGTCAGTGTTGGCTCTTAGTGACTACAGAGATAAACCTCCTCTAAAATGTGTCTCTTTAGATTTCTCATCAATGTATCTTAATCTGAATTTCTGAGTTTGATGTCTTCATAGATGTTGTAATATTGTTTCTTGTCTCTTCTAATAACTTTCTGAAATTCTTTGTTAAGATTTTCATATTATTTGCCTTTGGTTTCTCTTAATAATATTCATGACTTGTTCTGACATCCAGTTTGCTTATCTTCTACCTTATAGAACTCAGTTCTCAAAACAGTCCCAGTAATCTTAGGAGACAATTCAGGAATCAATTGTAGAGCTGTGGACAATCAATATATGAAAATAAAGCGGTAATGAAATCTCTAAGGTCTTTACTTTCGTAGCCCATTTTATAATCTTAAAATTTACAAAGATAGAGCCTGAGGTTCATAATTCACACTAAACACTTCTTCTACAATTAATTTGCAGGACTGCCATTATCTTCACTTTTTTAAAATGAAAGCAAGCCAGCTTCCCTTATTTCTTCCCCTTTTTGTTTGGTATCGATCTGTTTCTATCTCCAGAATAGAAACTGAATTATGTACTGTTTAATTGAAAAGCAGAACTGGCAGCCTATTTAAATACCTGCAAGATATTAATGGTTGATTCACATAGCTTTAATTATTGTTTACATTCTCAAGATTAGAAGAATGAATTTTGGCTGGAAAACTGCTGTCCCCACAAAATTCTTCTTATTGTGCCTTCTTTCTGAATGAGCTAAGTTAGGTCAGGAATTCCTCAACAGATGGCACATTTAAGCGGCCTATTTAAATATTTAAGCGGCCTATTTAAATATTTATTTTTAATTATTCTCTTAAATTTTGTATTTTGTATTTGTATCAAACTGTTTTTAAACTGGCTGTAAGCCGCCCTGAGTCCTCCGGGAGAAGGGCGGGGTATAAATATAATAAATCAAATCAATCAAATCACATTGGAAGACTGAATAGACGGGGCCAGCAAAGTAGCTGTTGATTCCTCATTATATGGTTCCTTCAGTTGTCAATCTCAAAAACTGGTGGAAAATTGGTCTCATTACTTGCTGTTGTTGCCCTTTGCTGTCTCTCATCTCTTAGTTTATAGCACTTGGAGAGCAGCACAGCCTAGAGCAGGGGTAGGCAACCTCGGCTCTTTTATGACTCATGGACTTCAACTCCCAGAATTCCTGAGTCAGCATAGCTGGAGTTGAAGTCCACGAGTCATAAAAGAGCCGAGGTTGCCTACCCCTGGCCTAGAGTGTTCTGTGTTCTGGTGATGACATTACGTTTTGTGGATCAGGGTAGCTATTTGGAGAGTGCTGTTGTGAGATCCTGCTGTTGCCTGCTGGCAAAGACTTTATCAAATGGTTGTTTTGGGGTAGTTATTGTCCAATCCAAAAGACAAAGGGTCAGGAGACAATCTGCTTCTTCCAGTAGTCAAAATAGAAATAATAATTAAGGTATAGAGTCCTGCACTAAGATAGGAGAAAGCAACAAGCAATGCACTTCTGCAGATAATTATTCACCTAGTAACCTAACTTCCTGACAGATTATGGCATTATTTAGTTAAATTATGGTATAATTCTCTGATTTGGCTATAGCTAATCAATAGCAGCCGGCACCAAGATACAGAGGCTTTTGTAAAGACATGTCCCCAAGAAGTTTTAAGCTGTCATCTCAGTAGTGGGATATGGAGTAGTGGGATATGGTGGTTAAGTCCTTAAGACTAAATGGCTGATTTAATCACTATCAAGGAACATGCCTAAAGGATATTGTGTTACATTATCAGGTTAAAATCAGTAACTGCTTTTTTTAAAGGACAGTGGGCACAATTAAACTGGAAAAAAGATGAAAGAGCGAGACTAATTTGGTATATGCGTTGCATTAGGCTATAAGATGGCTTGCTTAGTTTGCTTTATGAATCCAGGAATTAAAATATAGTATAAAGTTAGAATCATTTTGTGATAATGTTTTCTGTTAATGCACAATTTTTACTTGATGAAGATTCTTTAATCATACACAAAGCAAAATGTATTAATTATGTTGTTTCTTTAGAATAATAGAAAAAAATAATAACTTTATTGTCACTTTGAATGTGCACTAATTGGCATACATTAAAATGAAATTTCATTGCATACAGCTCTCAAAGGGTCACTACCTCCGATATACACTTAAATGCAATGAACTTAATTTTGTAAAGGTAACATTATTCATAGTATTGGATGATGATAAATCTTTATAACAGTAAACTAACAATCTTATTTTGCTGAATGAATGAATGATTTATATTTTTATTGATTGTAGAGAAAACAGTAAAAACAGTAAATTTTGTATGGGAATTAGGCATATTTATTATATTGTGATACATGTAATTATGTATTTTAATTTCACATCATTTTCTGAGATGATAGTAAATTGGTTTGGTTAGTTTTCTACCCTAATCAAAAGTGGACATTTTTACATTTTCTAACCCCTTTGTCTAGTAAGTTGTTCAATGGCAACTACAGGATATGAGGCCATCTAGTGGTGAAAATAAAATCTATGCTTAGAATATAGACCTGAGGTTGCTTCCTATTCACTGAACTACCTTTAAGGTTTAGTTCAATTAGTACTCAAACAATCAGAGGTTGAATGCATGTACTTGGATTACCTTTACCCATTTGCAGAATAGGCATGCAAATAGAAATAAAAATAACAAAGCAATTCAAAGCATTTCTGGAGATTGATGCTTTTTTAAAAAGTCAACATTCATTTCACAATATTTATAGCCTGCCTCAGCTAAGGAAACTCTGGCAGGAGTAGAACAAAGTACAAAGAAATTTACTAAAACTTAGCCTTTGGATAGCCTGTTGATCTTCAGAAAGGCTGCATAAAGTTAAGTTTTTCTTCAGGCCTTAGAGTCTGGAAAATTGGAGCCTGGAGACAGATATGAATGGGAATCTTTGGTATGTATTAATGTATGATTGTATTTTAATATATATTATTTATCTTGTTCTGTTCTTGTGCTGTCCAGAGTCACAATGGTCAAGATGGGTAGCTATTTAGTAAATAAATAAATCTACAAATAACGAAAAAAACTAGACAATAATACATCAAGAGTGCCATTCAATGAATCTAAGAATCAAATTTCTATTGGTTCAACAATGCTTTTTTAATATCTGTAGAGTACTGGCCATCAGTACTTCCAGGGGAAGAATATTTCATTAAATGTGAGTCAATACTGAAAAAAAAACTACTGTATCCGGCCCACAGTTTATGAACTTCATGAGAGGGGAACCTGCTACAGTTCATCACTAGGAAATTGGGCAAATTCAGCAATTACTAGAAAATTCCATTTAATAGAAAGCCTAAGTACATTATCTACCCATGTTATGTAAAATAATAAAAAACCATATAGTTTGCCAGTTGAGAAAAAAATCAAGATATAATTTGTTGTTGGTTTCTCAACTTTAGCAACTTTAAGATGTGTGCACTTCAAGTCTGAATAACAACTGATCCTAATTCATCTGGAAGTTCATTTCAAACATTACAATCAACTACATATATTGACTCAGTTATTATAGTTTGTATTTATCAATTAGCAGTAATGTGAATCCAGCCAGTGACTGTTTACTTGCTCTGCTCTCAATGTCTTGAATTAACCCTTGCATTTTAGGATGTAGTTGTTGCCCAATATTTCTTTTGGGAACCACGGGAGGTTGGGTTACATGTGATATATATTGAGAGTGGAAGATCTGAATTCAAATCCCTCTTCTGTCACCAGGCACAAGAAGTGACACTCAAATTCTCAGTGTTATCTGCATCTCAGTGAGTTGCTTTTCGAGGTCAAAATCAGCAGATAGAGCAATCCGCCTTAAATATTCCCATCGTTATTTGGACTGTAAGAATCCCGACCATTAGTAGATGGCAGCAAAGCCCAAAGGTTTGGAGGGAAGATGGTACAATACGTGCATTATAGTACATATAGTACATACAGGACTCAAATCGGCGCGCACCCTGGAAATCGTTCAGGGCAGAAAAATACGCGCGTTCAGAACTTACCTATGTGGTGGAGGGAGCGGAGCGGAGAGCTTTCCCGTCGCTAGGTTACCCGAGGAAACATCCTCAGCCATTGCCCAGCTGGTCAGAATGGTGGGCGGGCTGCCGGTTAAGGGGCTGCATGGGACCGTTAGGCAAGTGTATCAAGGGAAAATTATAGACCGGTTTCCTGAGCTCCCCACAGTAAGTATTTATATGTTGTGTTCGTCTCTGCCGCCATCGCGGTCTTTCCACTTTGGAATTAGTTGCTGCCCCAACGCTTTCGCGTGGGACTCGTTGCCCAAAGGAAGACTTGCGGAGATCGACAAACACTGTTTCCCTAGATCAGGGGTAGCCAACCTCGGCTCTTTTATGACTCATGGACTTCAACTCCCAGAATTCCTGAGTCAGCATACCATAGCTGACTCAGGAATTCTGGGAGTTGAAGTCCATGAGTCATAAAAGAGCCGAGGTTGGCTACCTCTGCCCTAGACTGTTGTCATTTGCTAACATCTGAGGAACTTTTTAAGCGAGAGCAAAATGGCAGTGGGGAGAGTTGGTGCCAGACCACAACCTAGACACCTTGTAAATTCTACAGTGACAAAAATCCGGGCGAATGTTAGATGGTCTGGGATGGGACCCTCCAAACCGTACCAGAACCTAGTGAAAATAAAAATAAATGCTGTCTAATTTATATAAGGAAATTACCTTGCCTATGTGGTTTTACTTGTTTGCTTTTTGCAGGCTGGAAAGTTGATACCAATTGGAGAAACTGCTGCCACTTGTCTTACTGAAATCCTACCCAGAGTGAGTATCTTCATTCTTCAGTTTACCATCTTTCCATCTAACCATCTTTGTGTGTGTGTGTGTGTGTGTGTGTGTGTGTGTGTGTGTGTGTGTGTGTGTATTGGATACAGACACATCTGACTCACTCTTGAAGGTATCACAACCCAAGGTTCCAATAGAAAAGAATTCATGTAGATCAGGGCTGAACTGTGGATCCTTGGTGTTCTTTGATCTTGGTTGTTCGCTTTCAGATGTTTCATTACCTAACCATGTAACATCATAATTATGAGTGTGGAGTTTACTCCCTATATATATATACAGTATCTTGCCCTGCCAGTATTGGTGAGAGTGTAGTTTTCTCCTTGGTAATTCCTTGATTAGGGTATTGTTTTTGTGCTTGACTTTTTGCTCTTATCTGGGTGTTGGCTGCTGGAAAGAATGTGTTTTGGTCTTTTTGTTTCCTTCTTAGCTTTTTAATTTTTTTTATTTTGAATGGTATGTAAATTTGGTTATTTTTATGTTTCAATTCATTGCTGACCAAAGATTTTTAATGTGTCTATGTGTATTCCAAACACATATAGTTTACTTATATGTGTTTATTGATGACTGACCCAAAGGTTCCAGATATCTCAAGCACCCAGACAACTGTGGAATCCTTACTACTCTCTGAGTTTGGCTATTATCGGTGCCAAATTGTAATTTTGTTGGTACTAAACTGTAATTTTTATTTGACAGTGGGGGAAATTATTGAATATATCATGTTTTATCTCATTAATTATAAGTATACTTCAAGATAAATTAAATTAAGCCAAATTAATTTTGATCTGGATTCTCCTAGTATTTTTTAGGAAAAAGTCTTCTATCATGCCAAGGAATTGTGAGGATGCTTTTGAAGACATGTACAAATGTGAAAAAGTGGTTCATATATATATTAAAAAAGAATAAAAGCGACCACCAAGAGGAATGGAATATAAAACTTTAAAAAATTTAATAAGCCGAGCTTTCGTCAGAACCGTCTGACATCATCAGGGCGTTAAAACAGCAGTCTGGGAGAAACCCTTATAAAGTGTGTGTGTCAATTGCCTGCATCCGGCATATATATATATGTATGTATGTATGTATGTATGTATGTATGTATGTATGTATGTATGTATATATATATATATATATATATATATATATATATATATGCAGGTCTGATGGAACATTTAGGACAGTTGTTCCAGAGTAGCCATTCCACATATTTAAGCTGTTTTTTGTAATGATTGTTACCAATGGTTCAGGTATATTACCCACTGGGAAAACAATTAGAGAACAGTTATATATATATAGCATGCCATGTTGTTTGATACTGTAATGAAAGATTACAAAGATATACCTTCAGAACAATCAAGATGTGTAAGACATGGTATCTTAAAAGATATTTCTGTTTTCACATTACTAGCAGTCAAAATCCTGTGTAGGTCAGCAATCAGTGAAAATATTAATATTACAGACATTACTTCTGCTTGAAATGTTTTATCTGTAATTAGGCTGGCTGATGATTATGAGTTATAGTGATATTTTAGCAAATTCTAATAAAAGTATTATTATTCTTGGCTTTGGGTATATATTAATGAACTAATGAAGTTAATACATGTCTAATTTTTAAGTATAAGAATGTATACTTTAAAATGGCTTTCATGTTGTCTTATAGCCAGTTACACCATCTGTTGTAAAAAAGTTTAGAAACACCAGCAATCCTCCTACAGGTAAAGAAAGAGTATTTTATGGTCGAGCAAATGATCCTGATATTGCATCATATTTGACTCATGGAATAACAACCACCGTTTCAGAGAATGTAAGAATGTGTATATCTTTTCTTTTTTTTCTAAGCAAAGAAGTCATACTTAATTTTATTGATGTGAAATGGTCTTAATTAGTTCTGAAATAGGAACACTTGGGGGACATGCTGAAATATGACTTTCTGTGTAAAATTATAACTGGTATTTCCATAACTTATATCAGTCAAATCTCTGCAATATAAGCATGATAAACCAAAGCCAGAAATAGTCTTGTCATATGTTGATTATTGAAATGATTGCTCCATTAAACAACAAAATGAAAATCAAGAAAAATAAGGTTAACAAGGAGAGGAGCAATAAGCTCTTCTTTAGAACCCTAAACTCATCAAATTGTAGAATTGGAAGAGACCACTTAGACCTTCACTTCTAAAATTTATTCTATTCATTAATGCAAATAAAAGCAGCCCCAACAAGTGGCTGCCAATACTTCACTTGAACACATCAAGTAAACAAAGCCTGTGATATATTTTTACCAGTTGGGTTCACTGCTTTTAATGTCAGAAAATTTTCCTAACATTCATTCGGAATTTACATTCCTGTAACTTAAATTATTCTGGGATGCCAAAGAAGGCTGTGACTTTGTTTTGACACTCCTTCAGGTACTTATATTAGTTTTCCTTGTTTCTAACTGCCTTTTTAAAAATATAAGATACCCAGATAACTCTTTAGTTTCCTATCCTCTAATCCTTATTAACCTTTTCTACACCTGCTCCAATTTATGTAAATCATTTTTAATGAAGGATACTCATAAAATAAAATTATCTACATATGTTTCACTCACTCAGTTTCTATGCATGGAACACATAGATAATAGGATATATTTTTTCTAAAAAAATCATCTTCTTTAAGGTTGCAGTATTCATAACACCTATACTATATATTCCTTGTCACCAGAGGCAATCTTTCAATCAGCCAGGAATTTACAGTAGCTCTTTGTAAAATGGAGTATGGTAGAATCATCTTCCCCTTTGCAGTGGTGGGATTCAGCTGGTTCGCACCAGTTCAGCAGATCCGGTAGCTAATTTTTTGTTGCCCAGGCCCAGAACGGACTTCCGGAAGAATCCCACCACTTGAAAAACAAAGGATTAGTTACAGCTTTAATGATATTACATGATTTGTAATAGATATATTTTAATGGTAATCAGTGTGTCTATGAAATTTTGGTTGTTTTATTATATTTAAATGTAAATGTTTTGAATAATGCATAACAAACATTGGAAGTGACGAGCAACTAGAAGAAATTTCAAGATGTTAGTTTACACAAAGATAGCAGTATCTTCAAAAAATCACTCATATTTTTTTCTTGTTCTAAATCAAATTAGTAGTTGATACTGTGCCATTTTGTTAATAAAACTGATGTGATAGCATAACAGAAGGTACTTCAGAACTAATACATTTTATATGGCATAAAACTTCTTCAGGCATCATTATTAGCAAATCCACCTCCTAAAACATACTTCCAACAAAAAATTAAAGAAAAGAAAGAATCTGTCTACTTAAGTAACTGTCAAGCTCCTCTTGGGAAATCTCATGATCAATCCCTGCGATTGCCTAAAGAACTGGATGTGAATAATACTCGATTTGGAACAACAGTCAAAAGAGGTAGGAAAGTAGTAAGAAAATACAGTGTTACTTCATGCTATAATTTAACATGGAATTGAATAATTTATTTGTTTTATCTCACCTTTATTCTTTTTTTATGAATAACTCAAGAAAGTGAATATATCTATTACTTCTTTCTCTTTCAATTTTCCCCACATCAACAACCCTGTGAAGTGACTGAGAAAGAGTGACTGACCCAAAGTCACCTAGCCAGCTTTCATGCCTAATGCAGGACCAGAACTCCTTTTAGCCTGATACCCTAATCACTAGACCAAAATGGCTCTCAAATTAGCTTGTTTAAAAACAGTATTCTGAGATAAACTCCGAACATCAAAAGCAATCATTTAATTTGCTGCTGTTGGCTCCAGACATATTCACAATTAAGCTAGATTGATTTATTATACTATCCCATAATTTATTGACCCTGATTTGTTGAACAAGTTTTAGTGATGTAGTTCACACACAATGTTGAGTCATAAACAGTAATTTATAAGTTACAATGGATAGTTAAACCAAGTTCAAGAAAGCATTTTATATTTAGCATATTCAGCAAACCCATCTTTAGAGCTAACTACTAAATGATACTTAGCCTTTCATGTGTTTCAAGTTGCTCCAATCCTGCTATATCCACCAAATAGGAGAAAATCATATAGCGAGGCCTTCCTCTTGTAAATTGTGTTCCCTCCAGTTGCCTCTGAAATGTCTTTTCGCTTGAATGAATCTTCCAAACTAAATGCCAGCAAGTTTCCTTTAAAGCCAGAATAATTTTTCAGCCTAATCCTTTCATATGTGTTTGAACCAAAACTTCACAGTTATTGTGGCGAGTTCCCATTGGACCTGTTCTATTCAGGTAAAGAGGGTTTCAGTATTCTTGTTCCTTTTTCCTGATGGACTTAGGGAAAAATAACCAGATTCTTTCTGATAAAAGAATAAATATATAAATATCTCTGTCAGTGATCTACTAGATAGGAAATGTGGTGTTTTATGCATGTTTTATGCATGGCGGTTGCTTTTATCTGACCTAAATCTACTAAAGAACTTCAGACAAGAGCACTGATTTCAGACATATTTTTATCAACTATTTTCAAACTATAATGAAAATAAACCAATAGAGAAAATAATTATACTGTATAAAGAAACCGATCAAATAGTGACATGAATAAATTTGAGAGCATGAATCAAGAAAAATTCTAGAAGGTGTTCTTGCCATAACATTTGTTGATGTCTGTGTTGATTAGAAGCACATCATCCTCATTTTTTTTCTCTCACTCTGTGTTCAGGATTTTACTAAAATGTACTCTAAAACAGTTTAATTTATAAAAACTAATGATTCATATATTGTTGATACTCAATGATAAATAAATATATTTCATTCGTGCATGGCTACACAGTATGGTTTTCTACAGTTATATAAATAAAAAACTGGAACCAAATATGTGAATAAAGAATGTTGTATTTATAAATATTGATTTATATTAGATTGTTTCATTACATGTATTGATTTATTTTCAGAGATTTCTGCTGCAGACATTATAAATCCCAGAAAGACATTTGATGAAGTCCAAAAAGAAGCACAGGAAGGACATGAATTATATGTTTTGACACACAACGATTATTATGTTGGTGAGCAAAAGGACAAATAAATATCATGAAGAAGCTCTAGATGTAAATATGATCATAGTATTATTTAGCAAAGACATGGTTATTTTCCATTTTATAATAAGGAATAAAATTAACACCTCTTGCAATGTCTTTTGAATTAAAGATGTTGTTAAATTGATACTAATATATTTGATAAATGGAAATGAAATGGTGATAGGAATGCATAGCTCTGACACTTTTTTCATAGGAAGATCAATTACAGGTAGTCCTCAACTTATGATCATTTATTCAGCAACCATTTAAAATTATGGACTTACCATCTTTGCCTGAAGTTACGGCTGCTGCAGTGTTCCTATAGTCACATGATTATGTTTGGCAGCTCACCCACGCTTATGAATGCAGGGGTACTGTATCTTCTCCCCACTTGCCTATCTCCCTTTTTGGCCGCCCTGCACAGAGGCATGTGGCAGCAGCAATCCTGGGATTGGAGCTGAAGTAGTGTCCTGGGGTTTTTAACAGTGTCAGCCAGACCTCCAGGTCCCTAATTCAGTTCCAGCAATGCCATTGCCACTGAGAAATACCACCTCAAACCATGTGCAAGCCCCACACCACTAAACTTTATTATTTTGTGTCGTTCTCCAACCTGTGTGTTCAATTTTACCCCCAGGCTGTGTGTTCCATTCTTGTGACCTTCAGAAACCTTCCCAGGTCTTGTGAGAACAGGCATGCTATTTGTGGAAGAGCAGGAGTCCCATTCTGGTGTTGCTTTTTAAGACCTCATTCTCCAAATCATGTGCACTATTCCTTTTCTAATTCATGTTTTGTGAGACTAGGAAAGATAGGTTTCCAAAGGATCATGAGAATGAATCTTGCAACTTGAAGAAGAAATGGGATGGAAAACAGTTGATATGGCAGTAATGTGGGGCTTGAGGTAGCATTTCTCAATGGCAGTAGTCTTGCTGGGATTTAAGTAGAGGTCTGGGTACAGAGGTAGCTTACTGAGATTGCTGAAGATTTAGAGAAAGGTAAACTTTTACACTTAGGCAAGAAAAACCAAATGTACAAGTACAGATTAGGTGAAACCTGGCTCAAAAGCAGTAATTGTGAGAGAGGGATCTTGGAGTCCCAGTGGACTATCATTTAAATATGAGCCAACAGTGTGCGGCAGCAGCCAAAAAAGCCAATGAAATTCTTGGTTGCATAAATGAAGGGATAGAGTTAAGATCACATGAAGTATTTGTACCACTTTATAAAACCTTAGCAAGACCACATCTGGAATATTGCATTCAGTTTTGGTCCCCTCATTATAAAAAAAGATGATGAGACATGGAAGAAGTGCTGAGAAGAAAAACTAAGATGATTAATGCCTGGAGATTAAAACACGAAGAACAGTTGCAAGAATTGGGTAAGATCAGTCTAGAGAAATGATATTTTATTCTAATTTATGTCTCATTGATTTGTAATCTGGTAATGTGGCTCAGAAAACTTTGTCCCCTCTAGCTGTATTTAAAATGTTCTTGTTTTGCAAACAACAGAAAAATGAAAGCATTTTCTTCTTTTGACTTGCTCCTGTAATCCTACTTGAAGATGCAATGGCATCCTTCTCATAGCATTTTCGAAAGACTCCAAACCCCTCTTAAAATAATTTGGAACTAGTTTAGGCCAAAATATTTACAGTTATTTTTGTTAATAGAGTAAAACACTTTCATGCAAAATAGCTGAAGCTGATGAGGTTGGAATCTCGTGTCAGAAAACCCTAATTTGTAAACAAGTAATATGATGGCAGAATCTTTCAAGGCTGGCTACATGACTGTTAACTTAAAAAGATGGGAGGGAAAGGCCGCAAGTTAAATTTAAGGACTAATATTTAAAGGGTAGGATTCCATAATGCACTGAAGCAGAACGCTTCCTTAGACTTATAGCTTCCTAATTCTCTGGAATAAGCCTTTTGCATCTAACCTTATGTTGCTTGAGAATGCTAAACAGGGAGAGGGCTTATTAACCTGGCAGCTCGAAAGCCTTGACAATAAATGATCATGTCCCATTTTCTCCAGGAGAGACAGTGAATAGAAAATATAATCCATCCACATTCAACAGATTTAATCTTTATGGTAAAGAAACACCACATTTTAATGATGGCCGGAATATTGGGAGAACTTTACACTGGTTGCATGATCTGCAGATGTAAGTTATGCTTTGAATTCATAACTTTTGTATTATCAATTAAATTGTAGCGTCAGGGATCCAAATGTTATTAATCATAAACCTGACTAATCCCCCTGAATTATTTTTCTCTTTTGGTCATATTAAAAGTATAGTTTGAAATGTGGAGGTCATAGCAAAGACATTTTAGGTCTGGGTGCTATTCTGGGGTCTTAAGTTGTGCATCTGCTTTAGAGAAATAGTTAAGTAATTTCTCTTGCTCTTTTTAATTTTCAGCCCTTTTATATGTTGTTTAAGAGATAAAAATGTTGTATGCATTCAGAAATAATATGATTTTGTATGACAATTGGTACCTCTCAGTCACTTGATCTGGCTTGACAGTTTTTGTTCAGGAGATTCTGATTAATTGTGTTGGAGTCTCAATGATTTAAAATGCTTTGACTTTCAAAATGCTATTTTAATCCTGTCACCCTTTTTGTTACACAACTTATTCATGTCTATGTTCTTTGCTTATATGTTTTGATAAATGAATAGTTAAGCTGGCAGGAGTTTAACAACAAAATGAAATACATACTTCATAGTAGAGATTGTAGTTGAAAGCCAATATCTCTAATTGTCTTGATCCAGTTTGTTTGCTGACTTTGTCTAACCCTGTTCCCTAATTACAGTGTTACAAAAATGGCATTAAATCAATTATACTTGACTCTGTTAGTATAGCATTTGGTACTGCAAGATATTGAAAATTAATTCAAAATTTGAATACTACCTCTCATCTGGCTGTAGCATTACAAAACCTGTTGATAATGTAGTTTGAGAGAGATGTCAAAATTTATTCTTTTTTTCCCATAGGACTCATAAAAAAATCCTTGTTCTTCTTTGCTATTGTGATTTAGCCATTTTTCCTCTATTCCTCTATTTTCCTTTTAATTTCTACAGGAAGAAATCAGCAAAGATTGTGTCTAAAATAAGTGATGATTTCAATGAAAAGTTTCAGCCTCAGGTTGGAAAAGTTCATGATCCGTAAGTCAACTAAGAGAATTCTGCATTAAGATTTTCTAGAAATAAATTGATTATTTATAAGAATTTATTTACATATTGGTTCAATAACTGTTTGGAGCTAGATATATCTTGGCAAACTCAGATTGCTAGCATTCATAATCATGTAGCATACCATACTGCCTTATCTCAACTTGGTTCTTATTCTGAGATTTTTTTTTCAGATAGAGACCTTACTTTATCCTGTTCCTCTGTTGTTATGCATGCTTTACCTTGGCTCCATGATATCAATATCAATAATATGCTGCAGAGTATTAAAAAAATATGGTTTTTACTGCCTGCAGCAGCTAGGGAATAATAACAACAACCTGCTATACCTCATCTACTGCATTCTTTTGTGGATAATTTGCTTTCTCTTGGACAAACCATTTTACTTAACTCAGGAAAACGTTTCAAATTCTGGTTTGCTATATCTTGCATAGACTTGAAAAACAGTATCTTAGTGAACACCTTTTGCTTCATGAACATTGAAAATCTGTATGTACGTGTGGGGAGTGTTAGTAAAGAAGCTTGCTATGTTTCTGCCAGCTCAGCTGCATTTTACTCAGCCTAATTCAATAAAAAACAATATCAGCATTGTTGGTTTGCTGCACAATAAGGATTTTCCAGAATATGTACAACACAGAACTTGCCGAATAACATCATCTTTACAATTTGCTTCATGGTTCATTATAATCCTTCCAGAGAAAGTGAGCACTGACTGACTGGCATTCTCATAGCATTCTCATAGCTCAGTTGTTAGCTAATTTTGGCTGAGCAGTGATTGATTGAACATACTCTCTGAAACTTTTAGAACCACTTTAATTAATATCTCGGATCTGCTTGTGAGGATGAAATGTGCATGGGGAATGAAATGGCCTTGAGGTGATAGTAATTATTCAAACTGTGTGGATATAATTCATAAGATGAGAGACCCCACAGTCCTGTCTTACTATGAGCCTATCAGGATATTAAGGTTGACAAGATATGCCCAATTAAAATGTGTGTGTGTGTGTGTGTAATGTATACGTATATACAAGTTTGTATATACAAGTTCAGTGCCTTTAACTGCTGAGCCATCACACCCCCTTAAATATATATAAATGTATGTATGTATGTATACATATATATATATATTTAAGGGGGCGTGATGGCTCAATGATTAAAGATGCTGAACTTGTCAGCTGGAAAGCTGACAGTGTGGTTTCAAAACCTGAGCACTGTACAATGTTCCTGCCCCAGCTTCTGCTCACCTAGCAGTTCAAAAGCATGCAAATGCAAATAGTTTTAACAGGTACCACTTCGGTGGGAAGGTAACAGCGTTCCGTGCACCTTTGGCATATAGTCATGCTGGCCACATGACCATGGAAAATTTCTTCAGACAATGTGGTCTCCCTCGGTCAAGAAATGAAGATAAGCACCATGCCCTAGAGTGGGACATGTGTGGACAGGGAAACCGTTATGTTATATATATAAAGATATATACATCCATTATGCTATTCCTTGTTAGGATTAACAACTTTATGCAAAATGCTAGTAAATAAAATAAATGTAGGCAATAAAAAGAAAGGAAAGAATATCAGACTAAAGTTTTGTTAGATTTTTTTTTTTCAGTGTTGCCCAGGGATTGCAATCTTGGACCAGAGGGCACATTTGAAAATTTGAGAGTACATTGTGGGTATGTTACAAAATTATCACCATGTGAGAACTTGGGGGAAGGATGTTTTGTTTTATTTTTTCAGGATAGCTGCTCCAACAGGCATATCCAATTATATGTACGTGCCTGTTGGATTATGTCCTGAAATCCTTTCAGTTCCAATCTCTCAGTATTATTTCTGGGAGAAAAAACAAGAAAACAATGAATGGATAGACTAATTGATAACTTTCAATTAGGAAACCAAGGGTACCCATAATAGATATTACTTATATTTTATTCTGTATCTCAGTTGTCTGAGTGATCAAGGTACACTGTAGAATAAAATTTCACAATTCTACTGTGTTTCATTGGTTTATGGATGGCGACAGAGAGTAGGCAAGGAACCCAAGGCATGGTGGCTTCGCCATGACCAATTTAGCCATATTTCATTAAAGATTTTTCTTTGACAAATAAAGAAAGCTTTTGTATTTAAAGCAAAGATTACACTTCACTGAAAACTGAAAGCAGTTTTTTTCATTTTCAGCTTAGCAGATACACTTAATGTTCCTCCAGACCACACATTTGGAATACTTATTCGGCCTGAAGAATACGGCAAGCATAAAAATAGCTTCTCTTATGTTTTACTCCCTTGAAATATGTTGGCTTTATTTTATTATCTGAAAATTAATGCTCTCTTCTTCCCTATGATGAAGTTGGTTCATCTATTCTAAAATGGTCAACTTTGTGTTTTCTGGGACTTCATCTTAATGTCTTCTGGCATTGGCCATGTTAGGTTAAAATTAATGAAGGAGTTGAAGTGGTTGCTTACCAAAATTAAATGTTAAAGGAGATAATTCAAGGCTCACTTTCATAACCTCAAAATATTTTGTTTCGTGCCTTATCTGCGAGTCTAGAAATTGAAAGAGCAATGGAACATATTATGCTGCTTAATTTGTTGTTCAGTTGCTCCTGAGCAGAGTTCCAAAGACTGATGTTTGCTTGTAAAGCTCTGAATTATTTGTGACCTGAGTAACTGGAGATACATCTGCCTCTCTATATACTTGCTTGCATGTTACAATTATTCTTTTTTATGTGTGTTTAGTGTATGTTCCTTCTGAGATAAAATAGGAAGCAATCATCTAAAAATATATTTTTCTTGTGATGCCCTACCTATGGAGTTTCCTGTACAAAGAACTATGCTTGATATGATTTCGGTATAAGATGACCTTATTTTCTCAGTTTGTATTCACTAAGCATTTCAACTATATTCTTTGAATCTCAATGCCTGGATAACATCTTTTTCTTTCTGCTACCTTGCTCTTCTTGCTTCCTATCATTTCCTTAACCTTTTGTTACATTTAACTCATTTACTTTGTTGTTATTCATGGATTCTTTTATGTTTCTTGTACATTCATTGATGGAAGGATATGATTTAAAATAGAGACAAGAGGTTTAAAGTAGACACAAGAAAACAGCATCATAGTTATTGCCTACTGATAAAGCCAATCTGGATATATTTCTATTATGGTGCAATTCACTTTGAGAACAGCATTGGGGAAGTAACATAGAGCAGTTAAATATGGTCAAGAAAAGTTTTGATAGAATATATCTCTTATTTAGGTGTTGGGGATCTTCTTCATAACCGGCTTCCAAGTGAATATCTTAAGACTAAAGACAGAGAACGCGCTGTCTTTGCTGCAATTCGTCAAAATTTAAAGAAGGCAAATTACCACAATTTTGATACTTTATTGCATGCATTTCGGCATTATGATAAGGTAACTGACTTTATATTAGCATAACAGCTTTTTTGGTGAATGATGTATGAAGCTTTAAACTCCAGTATCCTAAATCCTGCAGCCAAAAATGAAATGCTTCAATTTATCACTCAGTTGATAAGGGGTAGTTGCTGATAAGATGATACTCATTACCACCCTATGGCAATGAGCTCAAATTCAAAAGAGGTAGCACAGCCTTCTGAGCTTTGCTTTTTACTTATGGTTTGCTCATAGACAGGCTAACTACATGAAATATGAATAACCACCTCCTTTGCTTGTGGGAAAGGGGAGAAAGAGATTCCAACACTGGCACCTCCATCAGCCTCATTCACTACAACATTGCCTGGTGACATCACTGTTTCCTCAAGTGATGTGGCCAACTGTTTCCTCAAGAAGTGGCCATGGTATGCCTCCTTGCAGGAAATATTCTTCCCCTGCCTTGACCAACAAAGCTTGGCATTGCCTTTCCATTGACTAGCTTTCTGATCAGTCCAGCTGTTCCAATCATTGCTTGTTCATGGAGGGTTTATAATGAGGGTCTATAGTTAGGAGAATATACATAGCTAACTCTAAACTGGGATAATAGTGGAAAGAAGCCTTAAAAGCAAAACTTTATTTAAGCTAGAAAAAGAAACATCTCAATTGAAAGTGGTGATGGATGTAGGTGTGGTTCTGTCTTTCTAGAAACAACAGTGTCATCAGTTTTAAACTTAAAAAGGGACTGAGTTGAAACTAAGTGAATAAACAGATAAATCATTTTTTGTATCTCACTAAAACTACTACCCAGCCCATTACACTAAGTCAAAATCGGAAAAGATGTAGAAAGGCTCCCTCCATACTATGTGTTCCTTAAATGCCTGATACTTTACTCCAAAACTCCACTCAGATCATTACAACCAAGCTTAAGTGAATAACAATGCAGACATGACTACTGTATTGGGCCAGAATTAAAAAGATCACTACTATTTACAAGAAACAAGAACACTCAATTATAGCATCTAAAATAGAACTCACTTCTACCTGGAACAACTATATTTTGATCCATACCTAAAACAAAACAGATCCATTTTGGTTTATGTCCAGAATAAAACATCTGAAATATATAGTTTAGTTTATACATGGGCAATCCAAAATCAACATTTCATGCAGAGACATTTTCCATATCCCTATTAATTGAATACCAATTGCTGGAAGCAAACAGTGAGAGCCTTTTCCTTCACATACTGTTTGTGGACTTTCTGAAGCTATTTCCCTGAAATAAAGATACCTGTTGCTATTTATGCATCATACAAGCAATCATTTGTTGAGCAAATGATTTTAATACAATTAATTTTAATCCATAAATCATGTCTAAGAAAACACATCATGGGTAAGTGCAATGTAATAAGCCATCCATGAGGCTTTATTCACTTCCATGTATCTTGTCTAGTGTTTTTCACTAAGATGAAGTTTACTGCATCTTCTGTCTATAGGTAGGTAGAGAGAAGTTATCATACAAATTAATGAATCTTGGTATCTTACACATATCCCAGTGAAGAGGATTTAAATTATATGTAATTGAATGAAAGCAGTTGGATATATTCATGGTTATTATACTTAAACTTTCTGTGAACTAATTGGAGAACAACTATAGAAAATTTGGTAAACAAATTAGTGGTAAACAGCATACAAATTTGTTGTTACCCGAATGTTGTTGAACTATAGTACCTAGCATCATTCATGTTTCAGAATGATGGCTGGAGTCACAGATTTTTCAACCATGAGCAGATGGATTTCTTCTTATTTCATCTCAGTCATTGACTTGCTCAGTGACCTTGTCTAGGATTTGTAAGTGTGTGAAGAAATACCTGTCTCTGATAGTTTCTTTTCATCCTGTGTAATCAGTCAGAGTGGGTATGCACTTTTTTGGGGGGAAATTAAACAATTTCTAATCGGATCCAGGAATTGAGCCTTCTGTGTGTGGTGCCTGCTCTATAGAAAAGCATTCCCTCCAGAGAGCTGTATGGTTTCCCTATGATCTTGTTTAGAGAGTTTTTGAAAATCTGGCTTTTCCCCAGGCCTTGAGTTAGGATGTGTGGGAACCTTCTTTCTGGATATATATGTGTACATCCAGTGGTGGGATTCAAATATGTGAACAACCAGTTTTTTGTGTTGGATGCCGCTTCTGGAAGCCCATCCTGGGCCTTGGCAACAAAAAATTAGCTACCGGTTCTCCCAAACTGGTGTGAACTGGCTGAATCCCACCACTGTGTACATCCAAATATGTATATCCAAAATATATATATTGTATCATCCAAAAGAAAAAACATTCAAGCATTGTTCTTCCTTGTTTATTTAAATTCTTGTAATTTTTAATGATGGATGATATCAGAATCTGTATGAATCTAGTTAGCTCTTTGACTATCTATCTATCTATCTATCTATCTATCTATCTATCTATCTGTCTGTCTGTCTGTCTGTCTGTCTGTCTGTCTGTCTGTCTGTCTGTCTGTCTGTCTGTCTGTCTATCTATCTATCTATCTATCTATCTATCTATCTATCTATCTATCTATCTATCTATCTATCTATCTATCTATCTATCTATCTATCTATCTATCACTAGCTATAATTTAAATGACACCAACCTGTTCGGTTGTGTGAGTCTGTGAGATAAAGAATGAAAAATAAATTATAGAAGCATTACTGAATTCCAGTGGTTAAGATGCTGATATAATGGTGATATACACACAGTTGGACGGGCAGCCTGATATTTTATACTACAATGGAAAACAGCGTACAGATAGTCCTTGTGTCATGAAGCAATTTAAGCTTATTCTGTGAGTAATTCAAAAATGCTCCAGTGGGTGGCAGAACAGAGCTGAATCAGTTGATCCTGAGAAAGAAAGCAAAGAAAATAGGGCTGACAATTAAAAAATGTATCTTTTTGAAGGATGTTAAAAAAAAAAAAGCAGGACATTAAACATACTGTAAATGTCGCAATTCTTTGTAAAAAAAAAAGAGGCCTGTTCCTTTTTAATTAAAATGCTTTAAATATTTTATTAATTATTATATAATAACATTCAAATATATTGCTTGTCTCTAAAAAGACATGCAGTTTTTAAAAGGTGTGAATGTATATTCATAGAATGTTCTTATAACCCGTAACGTAAACAATGTTTTAAGCAGTCTCTGATTTTTATTGGGTCCAGGACTATAGGCTAGGCAAAGAAAAGAAAGGAAAAAATTATCCCCAGAAGAAAGTAGTGACAAACCACTTACTTAGTACTACCAAGAGAATTACACGGAAGTGGTCAAGTCAGAATTTGAGCTTAGCTTCAATATTATTTAATGTTGAAATAATTCAATTTATCTAAGTAGAAAAACAAAGTTATTTGTAAGCATCAATCCTTCAAATAGTTTTAAACATATAAAACCTTAATTGTGTGCCTCAGTTTGAAAGAAGACATTATCTACGTCATCTATTGTATTCCTTCATATTGACTTTATAAAGTACCGTACATTGGTTTGTCATTAGTTCATCTAAAATATTATTTCAGTTGACCCTTTAATTCAATTTAATTTATATTTGTACACTGTGTTTTAATTTATTATATTCAATCTCCACAGTATAAGTTTTTGTATTACTTAGCAAGTCTGTTAGGAAATTGGCACACAGGAATTTGTTTTTAAAATTCATATTATCATATTTAATCAGGATGGTGATCGAAAAATAAGCAGAGAAGATTTGAAAAAGGCATGCTGTCAGCTTAACCTGGACTTGGATGATGAACTTTTGGATTCTTTATTTAATTACTGTGATTTGGATAAAGATGGTTTTATAGACTATTTGGAGTTTGTAAATTTTCTTAACTGGAAAGACAAAATGGCTATTCAAGAGTATGAAGAAAAAATAATAACAAAAGGTATGTGGCCAACATTAAATGATAATTTATATTAGTCAATCTAATACCAATACAGTGGACTTAAGTTTCTTGAGAATTTAATGAAGTAAACTAAAGATTTGGAATTTGTAATCAAGAATAACCATTTTTTCTTTTGGATTAAATTTGAGACTTACATGTGGACCTTGCATAGGATTACTTTTGGTTTTAGATAGTAGTGTGAAATGACTGGGCCTAAGTTTGGCATCCCCTGGCTATATGGACTTTGAACATTCCTTGGGGTGAACAATGCTCAGAATTGTAGTTTAGACAACTGGAAAACTCTGAAGTTAGAGAAGATTTTTAAACCTCTTTTATTCTTTCTCCTCGTCTTTCATTAACTTCAGGTGACTAATGTCCTTCAGCAACAGATGAAAAAAAGATTGTTGCTGACAAGAACTATTGCTGATAGTGTAATTCCCCATGACTGAGGCCTGTAGAGGGCACTTATCATCATAAAATCAGCACACTTTTTCTCCTTATTTTTCTATTACTATTAAAGTAGACCATATTAGAGTAGAGTATATGTTCTTTTTTGAAATAATGAGAGGGAAGAAGTAACTCCATTCAGCTACTTTGTCATCTCTCAAGAAGAAACCTTAGCTGGTTCTACTTTTCCCTTCTTATAGGAGGAGGGATTCACTGATACTCTAGCATTCAGAGGGTACTACTATCTTCCTGGCAGTTAGGGGTGTTCCACTATCACCTCAGGAACTGACAAGTAGATAGGTTTGACCTCCACCCCGGCCATATTCAAAATTGTTCTGAAAATCTGATTCTTTCCCCAAGTGTTGAGTGGGATGTTTGATTGACTTTTAGTGGTTGCTTTCCTTCTGGTGTTTGGGTGAATTGTTCTTTTACTGTACAGTATAATCAGTTTTATTGTAGGTACCCTCCCTGAGTCATTATAGCAGCCTTATAAATTTCTGAAATTAAATTAATAATTAATAAATTAAATTAATAAATAACAGGGCTACTTTTGTATCCATATGTGACTTCAGTATTTTTCTTCTACTTTTGACATGGTTGAAGCTGGACCCTTACATTTAAGTGTTCATAACCCCATTACTTCTTCATTTTAAAAAGGTACCTTGTTTATGGCCTTAGAACTTATTTTAGAGCTTCCTAAAATTATTCTTTTGTGCTATTTTATAGTTTTTATGTCACTCCATAAAAGTAACCTTTATTTTTTTTTCCTTTTCATTCATTGTTCACAGGGAAAAAACCAGCTCCTTTTGATCTTATTCCAGCAAATGATTCAGAAATTAAAGCTAATGAAAATGCTCTGCTAAAGCAGGATGATATTGTACCCATGGAACCAGGAAGTTTAGAAAAAACATCTAGAACGCTGTCAAGACCAACTGATCGTGTATTTTCTGATTATCGCACAACCTCTTCTCAATATAATGCAGTTGTAGGTGGCATTCCTTCATCATGTATGTAAAGTAGCTATATATTCTTTTACAACCAGGTTATAAATGTTTAAATATATCATTAACATACTTATTAATCAGTCTCCTAAAGATCTGTTGTTGCTCTTTTGCTTTCTTTATTTGTTTTGAAAGAGAATATAGCATCTGTATAATAGTTATACTATTATTTAAAAGTACATACTTCCTCAAACCAGGCTTGATTCTTGCTGATTTCATGAATAGTTTTGTCTTGTTTTCTTGACAATAACATGTAAATGGTTTTACATTGCCTTCTATCTGAGACAGTTTGTTAACTTTCCATTTTATAGCCTGGGATTTTTTGATAGTCTGCTATCCAAATAGTAGTATTTAATTGATCCTGACCCCCATAACTCTAACATAACTTAAGGGAGATTTTTATCTCTCATCTCTAAAGATTTTTAAGAGAGCAGTTGCTAATCTATTTATTGAGGTATCATGGTTTGTTACTGGAAATGTTGGAAACCCTTCATCACATTGATTTCTCTGTAACATCTTCATAATGAAGTTTTGGTCCTACAGTCATCTCCATAAGCCCATTGTAGACTGAGATTGGAGTATCCCTGAGACACATAGTATGTTTGTAAGCAAGTATTGCATGTGTTTATCCTTAAAATATTAAAGTAAAATGTTCAAAAATTAGATACTACCGTAGTTAGGTCAAATATTTGAAATGGATATTTTCTGGAAAAAGACAGACTAATAGCATGAGTGTGAGTTGGGGTAGGTTGCAAATATGATCCATGATCCAGGCAAAATTTAAGAATGATGAAAATTCTGATTTCAGAGGGACATTAAGATAGTAGTTCTATGTCATCCTATGACCTCCTCTCTTTGGAGGAGGAAATCCAAAGGCCCAAATTTCAGATATCCTTTCCATCAGTCAGCTATCCTCCTCCCCCATAAACCTCTGAGGCTATCTGTGTCTGACATCTGGAATGGCAGGGATAAAGCAATAGGAATGATGGGAGAGATTTTAGATCTAAAACCTTCCTAATCATCCACATCATTGCTGACCTAGATCAGCCTTTTGAACTGGTATAAATTACTTTGCTCACAGTGAGAAAATATTTTTAATGAAAAACAAAAATAGGAAGATCACTGATATTCCATCTTTCAAAGGGGCCTTGATAATATTGGAGGACTCTAACCAGGTAGTAGAGTTGTTCTAGCTGCAAGATTTTGTTCCCTCCTACCAAGATCAGTGTATTTTGAGAACTTTTTTTTTTCAGTGCTGCTTGTTTAGTGATGCCTCTAATTAGAGGCGTCTATAGTAGTGTAAAATTGTGGGCTTGACCCAGTGATTGAAGCATCAAGTCTTTTTATGTGTAAAGTTGTTGTTCTTACATTTTGAAACCATTGACTGTCACTGACATTCCTATTTCCAGTTGTAGATAGACGTTGTATAACAAAAAATGTAAAATCACACAAAAATAAAAAGAGAAGCTATTTATATTATCTTCAATGCGTTTCAAAAAAATTTGGCATGGAAAAGGAGCTTTAAAAAGGATATGCTTGTTTGGTGTAATCTATTTCTGTTATTCCTAACTGCACCATAATGCTTTTCTCCTCTCTTTTTAAAATATGTTTTCACACAGTTTACCCCCTATATGGTATTCCAACCATTCGTTCAGATATTCCGGCTCCTCGTTTTCGTCGTATCAGTGACACCACTAATTATGGGGATCAAGCAAATATGTATGCACTGTTATACCCCTCTGTCTATAATAATAGAGGAGTTTATGAGAAAGACTTCTTCAGGATAAGATCAAAGGAAGAGGTAGTTATATCTCAAAGATATAGCATAGTTTATCTTATCAACAAGAATGTAGGTGACGTTTCTGTTAAAAATGTATGATAGCTGTCTTGTCTAGTACCAATCTTGAGTACAACTGTTTTAACAAAAAGGTTTCACACTAAAAAAAAGTCCTCAACTGTAGATTTAATGTATTAATCACAATGCAAATGGAAAAAGAACTGAAGAACTATCTGAAGGCTGCTTTTTCAAAAGGCAACTGGACTGTTTTTTTCTTGAGGAAGAAGAACAGAACCTTTCACTTTTCATCCAAGAAGCTTCATCAGTTCTGATGGTGGGGCGGAGGAGGGGATGTAAGGATAGATACTAACAGTTGAGATTGGATGGAGAGGGATAGAAGGATAGATTCTGACTGGATGGGCTTCGCTTCTCAGTCCAAAATGTGGATTTTGAAAGAGGGGTAAAAGAGGCCATTTATATTAACATTGAGCAAGCCTCTCTCAATAGAGGGGAGATAAGATATCACCTCTCTTCAATCTACAATGCAGCCCTTGCAGCAACTCCAGGAAGATTCCAGAACCCTTTGAACTCTGATTCAGGTGATCCTGAGGGCAAAGATAAACCCAAGTGGCCTAAAGAGCTCTCAGGGAGAGTGCTAACTGCAAAGAAATACAATCCTTCCATTCCCCCCCCTTCACCATCCAGTCAGAATCTATCCTTCCATTCCCCCACCATCCAGTCTCAATTGTCAATACTTATCCTTCCATTCCCCCCCCCATCACAACTGATGAAGCTTCTTGTATAAGAAGCAAAACATTTTGTTCTTCTTCCTCAAGGAAAAAACAATCCAGTTGCTTTTTGAAAAAGCACATTTGAGACAACTATGATCTGGATGACTGAGAATCTCCACAGACAACTGAAGAACTAAAAAAAACCCCTGATGGATAGGGCCAGATAATAATAATAATAATAATAATAATAATAATAATAATAATAATAATAATAATAATAATAATAATAATAATAATAATAATAATAATAATAATTATTATTATTATTATTATTATTATTATTATTATTATTATTATTATTATTATTATTATTTCTTCCTTGAGTTTACCTATTTTAGTTCTATAGGCCAGTATTTTTCAATCTTGTAAGTTTAACATAGCTGTCAATTCTGGGAGTTGAAATCCACATATCTTAAATTGCCAAGGTTGAGAAACACTGCTCTAGTTAATAACAGAAATTAGAAAATGCTTCTTTCTGATCAATCAGCAGGGGGAGCACCAAGTTCTTTTTCATAGAAGAGGATAGAGGTGAGGGAAATCTCTGGATGGTGTACGGAAGCTGGCTAATCTTACCTAATGTTTTAAATAGATTCTTGGAAATCGGGTTTTGTAATATTTTTTCCTCTGACATAAGATTCTGGGTTTTGGTATAGTAAGTGAAGTTCCATATTTATTTGATATATGGGTACTCTTTGACTTACAGTGGTCACTTGGTAACCATTCAAAGTTATGACTGATCTGAAAAAGGGGATTTATGACCCAGATTCAAAGTTCTTATTGTTGGGCTCTCTCAGCAGTCACATGACTAAATTTTGGATGCTCAGCAACAGAGCCACATTTACTGCCTATTGCAGTGTCCCACGGTCACATAACCATGCTTTATAACAGCCTATGACAGAACTTACTTTCAGATTTCAGCAAAACCATGTCCATAACAAACCATTGGTTCACTTAATGACCATAATATTTGCTTAATGATCATAGTGGTTCACTAAATGACTATCACAAAAAGGTCATAAAGTTGAATTGGTCATGTGACTGAACCATTTTATGACTGTTACAACATATGACCAAAATGGCCAGATCTCATTACATTTGTATGTTGAAGATTACTTGTATGCTGAAATAGTTTGACCTTTATATTTTTAATCTGATTTATGGATGACCAGTATGTACACTATTTAGAGTCATTAGTATTTCAAGTGGCCAAATAACTAAGTAGATAAATAAATAAATTGAATGCATGATTTTGTTTTTTCTGACAGTTGGCATGTATACCCACTCAATTGCCCTTCGGCTTTCAGTGTAGAGACTCAACTATTCCATGGCTATCAGCTTAGATATACTGTAAAATGATCCAAGAAAGCTCCAGTTTTTGTCTACTTTTGAGATAGTGCTGGATTAGGACTAGAGAGACATATATGGGTGATTCTGTATATGTGATGCATGTGAAAATTCCAAGGACTAACAATATTATATGTTATTTCACAGATTGCAGACATTTTGCGCAACGTTGGTGTGAAACTTTCAGATGAAAGCTTTGATGAAGTATGGAGGCAGGCTTGCCTGAAAGATCACAGAGGAAAAGTTTGTGTAGAATCCATCAGAAATGTACTAGATGAGATGCAGGCATTACACTTGACCAGCTGATAACTATTCTGCATTGAATTATGTGATATTTATGGTTGAATATTTTTTATTGCAGTAAATTCTCCTGTTATAACATGGTTTTGAAAGTCTGTGTGTAGTGCATATGAAGACATTTATTTATGGAAAATATTAAATTAGGTTTCATATTCATTTCAAAATGTATTTTAAAAGAGTATTAAACATCCAAAAAGAAGAAATGTGTACTGTATATTATGAGACCCAAAATAGTACCCATTTATTTAAAAACATAAAATAACTAAAATAAGGTAGCAAATTTGTCAGAATAGTCATAATTGTTAATTTCAGAACTATTATAAATGTTCTATCTCACTCAACAAATATGCTGTTTTAAGGATGATGGCTGCATATATTCTTCTCCAGAAGTTGGAAATAAACATATACTTTGAGGATGATGGCTGCATATATTCTTCTCCAGAAGTTGGAAATAAACATATACTTTGAGACCCCAATGAATCTAGTTGCATTATTTTCCTTCTTTTCTCTCAAACATTGATAGATCTGTACACCAAATCTAATGATATTTGTCATAATTGTTTTTATGTTATTCAATGCAGTGAACCTACTGTACATAAACTAGCAATTTAATAGACTAGTCATGAATGACAGTATTCTTGACTACAGTCTTTCCCATGAAATTTCTGTCTTCTCTCTCTGTATTTTTCTTTTGTGTGTGTGTGTGTGTGTGTGTATGTGTGTATGTATATATGGGCTGGATGGGCCCATATCTGGCCCATGGGGCTGCCCCAGAGATGGTGAGGGACCAGCCTCCACTGCCCTGGCCAACCTAGTTGAATGCTGCACCAGGTGTGTGCAGAGGAGGCAGCAAGTATGCGGGGATCTTGACTGGAGCACTTGGGTTGCGAGGCCTGCACAGCCTGTGCAGCACAAGTGAGTCCGAATGCTGCAACTGCCAGCCCAGCCCTCCAAGCAGTAGGCAAAGGCAGAGGCACAGAGACGAGGCATGTGATGCAGCCTGCCAGACACACTACGTGGTCACCTACCTTATTCTGTCCCACCATCTGTTTTTGCTTGCTTGCGGCCTTGATGAATTACAGAGCCACGTGTCACATCCAGCGGGCCAGATCATGTGCCTTTCCCATGCCTCTGCCTACTGCTGTTGCTGTGAAGTGAGGCAAGGCAGGTAGTGGGGCAGGGGTGGCACCATGCTTCAGCCTCTGCACGCTTGGCCCCCACCGTCCAACTTCATCCTCCAGCTTTGTGATACATGTGGAATGAGCCTCCTGCCTGTTGTCCCACTTGCAATGGCCTTGGTGAATGGGAAGAATGGAGTCCCCCTGTCCTCAAGAGGCACCATTGGCCCCTGTGCGCTCACCTCCTTCTGTGCGCATGCCTGGGGAGAATCTGGCTGGGTTGGCCTGGGGCCGGGATGGTAGGGGCCGGTCCTGTGCTATCTCCAGGGCAGCCCCACAGGCCAGATATGGGCCCATTGTGTGCCGGATTTGGCTCGTAGGCCTTGTGTTTGACATGTCTGCATTAAATCAAGTGTTAATTGAAGAATTATGAGACAGGAGTGGCAACAAAAATGTTGACAATTAAAAATGATAGTCCACACAAAAGCAACAAAAAATTGTAGGCACCAAAATTCAGAAAATGTTTCTTTATTTCACACAAGTGCATTATGTACATCTGTTACATCACATGATGTATTGAATTATGAAATACGTCCATTCGAGGCTTCTGTGCAGCTAGTGTGACAGCCGAGGGATCGAGACAATCTGATCCCTACAGCTGATTTCTCTCTGTTTGGGGACCCTAAATGGGCCCAAAGCCACCCTGGAGAGGTGGCAAGGAAGAAGGGAAGCCCCGCCAATCCTGGAGAGATGATGGTTGATCTGGATGTCTGGGGAAAGCTCTCCAAAAACTGACAGAAGAAAGGCTAGCGTCATTCGTGAATCTAGTCGAAGCTACATGCAGTCGAAGCCAAAAAGCACTAAACTAAGCGTGATTGTAAACAGCGTGACTGAACTGGGTAAGAACAGGGCTTTTTTTCTCATAGAACGCCCAGAATGGAGTTCTGGCACCTTTTTTGGGTGGAACCTTGTAGGGTAGGCAAGGCGGGTTGTATGATGTGTGTGAGTTCCGGCACCTTTTTTTTTTTTTTTTACAAAAAAAGCACTGGGTAAGAATACTGATTTTCTCTCTGCTACTTGACTGATTTCCTGAGAAAAAAAGAAAAAATCCCAGAAGTAAAAATCCTTCAAAAGTGAGCGGGTGGCTTTGTTTCACCCTCCTCTAAACGGAAGCAGCGAATTAAGTTTACAAAAAAAATACAGAAAATTGAAAGATGGACTAGTGCTGACATCTAGTGGTGGATGAAAATACTGCCCTAAATATACAGTCCAGAAAGAAAAGCCTGTTGTCGTGACCTTCAGGGCTTTGATTAAACAAAGAGCAGCTGTAACAAAAGAAAAGAAAACATTGTGGACTATCTACAAAGTGATAACTATAAAACTTAGAAAAAAATGATCTTCCTGGATTATAAATATTTTTTAAATTGCGACTTTAAAGTGGTTGGCAGACAAAGGATTTTTGGTCATTATGTAGCATCAGAGATCTGCAGAAAGAACATACCAAGAAAAAGTAAATACTTAACAGGAGGAAATATATGTTCTGTTACAACAAATGCAAATGATATTAACTTCAAACCATGAGGAAATTAAAAATGAATTTGAAAATTTAAATGAATGCATTTTCAATTTAACGTCACAACAATCAAATGATCAGAAAACAAAAAAAGAGAGAGTTCATGTAAAGCAGACAACTCAGTGGTGGGATTCAAATATGTGAACAACTGGTTCTCTGTGTGGATATTGCTTCCGGAAGTCCATTCTGGGCCTGGGCAACAAAAAAATAGCTGCCGGTTCTGCCAAAATGGTGCAAACTGGCTCAATCCCACCACTGAGAGAGACTCAAGTGGAGAATGACTTACAAGAAACATTGAACATGGAAAAGATAACTTGTACTCTAAGACCACAAAGTAAATTTGAGGAAAAGGAAAAAGATTTGACAAAATGGATTGCTGAGCTGTTGGGAGTACAAGAAACAGGGAGACAAGGGATGATGAGAGAAATCTTCATTGAATATGAAGGGGCAAAATCTTTTTACAAAGACATGATGTTTGATTTGCCTACTATATGTACAACAACATTTACAAGATTATGGAAAGACTAAAGTGAGAATTGAGGAATTAGATGATGGGGTCTATTAGAGGGAATATTTAAAAATTAAACACTTGTTTGAATATGGCTGAAGAAATAGAAAATTTTTAGTTTAAGAGGGATGAACTCTCCAAGTATTTTTTCTTTTCTTTTTTGTTTTGTTCTTCGATATGAGAACTATAAAAATGTGTGGGATGATCAACATAAAGGAAATGTTTTAGATATTTAAATGTAATTGATTTCTTTTTTCTTTTTTTCTTTTTCTCTCTCACATCTTTTCTTTTTCTATGTCTTTCTTTTGAATCTTTTTCTTACTTATTTTTTAAGACATGAAAATAGATTTAAATACTTTAAGGTAATTAATTCTGGTAAAATTTTAACCAGTAGAAATGTTTTGAACATTGTAGGAAAAATAAATTTAAACAAGAATTGTAAACAGGATTTATGACGAGGCAACCAAGATGACCAGATAGAAAAGAAGCATGATATTGATGTGATTGTTATTGGTAGAAATTTTAGAAAAATCTTTATATTTAATTGTTACCTATCAAATTAATAAGAATTGTATTAATTTAAGGTTGCAAAGAGAATATTATTGGAAGAAGAGAAAATCAAGCAAAGCTATTATGTGGATTTTGGAATATAGAAACTAACAGTTAGTGATTACTTTGTAAATATAAACCCAGACAACACACTGTTTACCAAATATTAAGGTGTTTATGTTAAAAAATCAATAAAATATATTAAAAAAAACCCCACGTACATTCGTTATCAAGTGCGCATGTTATTCATGTGTGGTGTCTGTACTCTGATTAGTCATTTGGCAGTAAGTCTCAAGTTCATCAGTTTACATAGGCTTTTACTCTTGTCCAAAGATGTCTGCTAGGGTATTTACAAATACTTAATTACAATTTATATTATCATTTATTTTAAGTATTAATGCCAATAATATTATTTATTTATATTTATATAAATATATTTATTTTTATATTATATATTAATATTATTATTTTATAATTCAATACTTCCATCATGTGTTGCAACAGACGTACTAAATGCGTCCATCTGGCTGACGATCTTAACTGGGGTTTATTTTGGGGGTAGGGCTTATATTGCGAGCATCCTGAAAAATCACGCTAGGGCTTATTTTTCGGTTGGGTCTTATTTTGGGGAAAACACGGTATGTAGAATGATATGATAGGGAAAAGAAGAAATCAGAACTTGAGATACGGTTGCCATTCTGTGTTGAAGGATACATGTAACTCTCTCAGAATTTCTGTACCCCTATTTTAGCTGCTTAAATTGAACCTTGTTGAATTAAAGCAAGAAGCTTAAAGGATGTACTTGAAAGACTGATATATTTAAGTGTATTAGATTTTTCAAAGAACTGCTGTAATTTTGTGTAGCTTTAGAAAGCTTCCAATGTTGTACTCAAGAGGCTATTTGAATGATTTAGGAACTTTTGTGGCTATTCACAGCTTTCAAGCTTGAAATGTTACCAGAGATTCCTTCTTAAAGCAATCACTCCAGGAGGAACAGGAAAAAGGACCACTTACATTATTCCTCTTGGGCATCATGTTACTGAATAGCACAGAATATTGATTTAACACCTGCAATTTCACTAGTGCTTGAGGAAGTATTGTCAGCATCTATAAGACTAACCTGAATCCACTGATAGATGATTCTCACTAGATGGTCAGATTCATTTGTCCCTGCTGATATGGCCGTCTTAGCAGCTGCTGGTTGCTTGCAAAACACTTAGAAACCTCACAAGTCAATCAGAAGCAGTTACTTTCACATGCAGGATTTCATTTTAGTCCTTGTGCAAAAACCCCACCATATCAATAATTGCTGAAAACTAACCTCTGTATATGATGGCACATGCTTGTGAAAACCCATCATACGCAGCCTTTTCTCCATGGCTACTGAATACTAATACAGATGAGTGATTTATGACAATATCCTTTAATGCAATGAATATGTAATCATATTTCTGTTGAGCAGCATATACATCCACAAATATATCATATGTTGGAAAAAGCAAATGTGGGCAGAACTAAAGTCATAAGTCAGTGATGGCGAACCTTTTAGAGACCGAGTGCCCAAACACTGGCCCTGCCCCCACTCCACCCCTGCCCTGCCCCTGCTCCACCCACACACTGTCCCCCACCCCGCCTGCTCGCAGGGCCACTCACCGCCTCCAGGGCCCACCACAGATCTCCCAGGCAGCCCAGCAGCGCCATGGCAGCCACGCCCT